TGTCCATTTTACAGGTGGAAGTGCTAAAGCTGAGAGAAGCCACATAATGAAGCCAGGGCAAATCCAAATTCAAGACTTCCTGAAATGCATTTTTTTCTTGCTGAATTCAGTGGGCAGGATGGCATACATGGACTGGAAAATCTAGGTTTCAAATTCTGATGATCCATAAAAACTAATGGCTGATTTTGGGCAAGTCGCTTCCTTTTCACTTAACCTACCTTACTGTTAAGATCACCTTCATACATCTCTAAATCTGTATCAGCTATCCAGGACTTTTCCTGTTCTCTGTGTGCCCCATTTGTTCCTGCTGCAATAAAACACTTTTCAGCAAAGGCTCATGCCCAGCTCCTTTATGGAGCACAACTCAATGTTTATTCCAACTTAACAAAGGTTGAGTCTGTTCAGTCTAAGTTTCTAAGAAATATTCTTCACATGCCTTTGTGCATGACTAGTGCTGTTCTTCATATGGAAGCAGGACGACTTAAAGTTGAAACCAGCGTATGGCTTAATCAATCTGAATTCTGTCTAATGGTTGTAATACTTTCCCTGTAGATTTAATCCCATATGTATTATTTTGAAATGGAAAAAGGATTGGAGGAGAAACTGCATTACTATGACTACTCTCTTCATGTATTACTAGCAATGTGGGTATGAATTGGCCAACAGACCTTAGACAACAAATATTTGATGTGGAGGATCAACTTAAGCATAACCTAATTCCTACTGATGTCTTTTTAAGCAACCAAGTTACCAGTCATAAGACTGCTAGATATCTTAATCTTTTTATAAGAACTTTATTAAGTTATAAACAGCATAAAGATAAAAGCAAACAAGAACTAATAATCAAGGAGAAAAGTAGAGAACAAGAGAGTTAGAAATAAAGAATACAAAGGTGTTGGAAAGTAAACAAAAGGAAAGAAAGAAAAAATTACAAAAAGTGACTTCCAACTTCTTATACAGCAGATATAAATAAATCATATAATAACCTCTTACTCTAAAACATCTTTACATATTTTGTATAACCTATTAATTTAACTAATCATCAAATCCATATATCATAATTCTAGATATCTTAATCTGATCAGCATGCCAAAATTTTGGAGCTCGAACACTTCTGCAGAACACTGCAGTCCTGGAGTATTAATACTAATAACCTCAGTGTTCAACATTGCTTACCTAAGCTTAAAAAATTTTATCTGTGCTGGCCGTGTTCTGTGTATCTTTTTCCATTCAATATGTGTATGTGTGTGTGTGTATAATTTCATTTCATTTCATTTTTAAATCTTATGTTATTTAAGGCTGGTCACTGACAAAAATAATGCTGCTTCATATGTATTATCCCAATCTCCCTGGAAGAAGAGTGTCTACTGATAAAATAACTGTTAACTCAGAATAACAGTTAAATGCAGCTTCATCACTTTGAACAATACTACTGATTAATAGCTAGTAATTACTGAACAATAATAATGGCATAATATACAATATAATAGGAATAGTAACATTAATATCACTGAATAACTGCAGTGGGCGTAGGATATAAATACTGTTCATAAATGACACACAAATTACTTACAATGCCCAGAATGAAGAAGGCCTTTATTTTTCATTTAGAGTGGTATAGGTCAATTAGGCTGGCTGAGAGTAATATTTTGGAGAGAAGGGCAAAGAATTTGGCGTATAACTTTAAAAGCATAAATTCAGAACAATATAAACCTGACAACAGAGTCACACATCTTGCTTTCCTCCGGGGAAATGATACAACTATGTATATGTAAGTTAAGCAGCAGTTGGCCCTTGAATTAATTTGCTCTGAAAAACAAGGGGGAAAATGGCTGTTTAAATGGTCAAGTTAAATAAGGTACAATTACATACATACTGGTCTCTTTAATTCAGAGCTCCCACCGGTGTGTTTACGAACCCCAAGAGGGGGTACTTTGTTGCCTTGTTAGTTTTAACTGCAGTTTGTTTCATCAGTGTTTCTCAACCTTGGCCACTTTAAGATGTGTGGACTTCAACTCCCAGAATTCC